ACAAAGGGTGTTTTCTTTAGTTTGTTATACATTCTTTCCACCACACTCCTGCCAAATGAGCATTCAGCCTATTGTGAATTTATTTTCACATACAGAATAAATTCATCTGTTTTTCAAATCAAACCATAAACATCAAGGTTCTCCATCCAAACCAGATATGGTAGTGCAAGCCTACAACCCCCCAGCCTTTACAAGGATCACAAATTAAGTCCAGTTTCAGCAATCTAGCAATGCCTGTCTAACAAAAACAACACATACACAGACATACACATATGGGGGGGACAAAATTCAGTACATCAGCCTTGGGTTCAATTACCAGTACTATAAAAATAAATACACAAAACTCTTGTTATTTTCTTGCCCACAGCCAGGCAGTCTAGATGCCTCTAAAAATTCTTCACTGACTTTTTTTGAGACAGAGTCTCACTATGCAGTTCAGGCTGGCATTGAAAAACGGAGCCCAGGCTGGCCTAGAATTCAATGATTCTCCTGCCTCAGCCTGGAGTCCTGGGATTTACAGGTGTAGGCACCATGCTGGGCTTCATTGACATTCCTGTATTTGCTACTCTGACGAGCACTGTTAAGAACCAACTTAAAGGAATGCTGCCACAGTACTCAAACCAGGGTTTGTTCCTTTACTAAAATAGACATCAAATTAAGTCAACCCTTTTACATATATGGAATTCTGTTATATTGCATTTTATGTCCCATTCTAATCCTTCCAAGTAAGTTGAAAAGAGAATACCATGCTATTAATACTACTACTCGCGTTTTGTAATACACATTCTCCCTAAGGCTTCTTACGTGTCTTTAAGGGAGTTGCAGATATAAGACCATCAAGAACAAAAAAGCAAAAGAGAATTAGAAGTTTAAGAGGTACCAGCAGTCCTAGAAAACAGGAATGAAAGGCCTCATGATTCAAACGGATACATTTTTTTCTTTTTTTGAGACAGGGTCTTGCTATGCAGTTCAGGCTGACTCTTGTGTTCACTTTTGTAGTCCACAGGCCAGTTTCAAACTTGCAGTGATTCTCCTGCCTCAACCTCCTGAGTGCTGGGATTACAGGTGTGCGCCACCATACCCAATTCTGGGGCCAGCACAGCATGTGCAGATAGGACCTTATGCTTGCCAGGTAGTGATTATGCCTCTGTGCTATCTCCCCAGCCCCTTAGAATTTATAAAGATATTGTTCCCTTTTCTCAGTAACTATCCCTTAGAGCCAACTTCCTTCCACACAACTTATTGTGCAGACAAGAAACTCTCCTAGAAAACTACTGGTCTGACCAATCCAGAGTCAGCAGGAAACCAGCTACACTGACAGCTACTTGTCACTTAAATTGAAACCCATGAAAACAAACATCTAAAAACTCAAGAAACCACCATCTATTTTAACAGCTGCTTAAATCTTCTGATCACGAGGTCCCCAATTTATTAATAAGCCAGAAGAACTATTCATAAGCTAGATTTGTTCATAAGCCAACAAAGTTTTTTATAGTACTCCTGTGAAAAGCTAATAGAGCAGCTTATTGTAATTGTATTAACATTTCTATTAAGAAAATACCTACCACTTACTGACAAAAGCTGTTATATATTGAAAAAAAGATAATATGAGAGATGCTATAAAAAGCTGGTTATTTATCAGAATTCTGGACTTTCACTGACCACATAATGCCTGTGATTACCTTAAGGAAATCTTTTTTTCCCCAAGTTTCAATTGTTGTTATTTCTTCAACAAAGAGCCTGAATAACATAATTCAAATACATTAAAGGACACTTAAATGACAGCTAAAAATAGTAAGCTATTAGCAGCCTCAAATATACCTGGGACTACATGAAGTGCCTCTAAGTGACTACTCAGTGTCTTTACCTTTTGGTTGAGGAATAGATGAGACCTTAAAGTATGACAAGAAGGTGACCTGCCATGTCTAAGGTAAAGGATGAATGAGAGAAAGGAAGGGTCAAGGATGGCAAAGTATGCTGTATCAAGTTCTCCACTGCTACTTTATAAAGACCTCTTTTTCTGAAGCAAAGACAATCAAAAGTGGTGGAAATATTTTGGTCTTTAGTAACATCAAGTTTACTTGCCACTGGGTAAAGGACAAAGCTACAGTATATCAAATGCTACTTGTTTTGCAAACAAATCCACCATAACCATCAAGAGGCTAAGTACTGGATAGGCAGCAGAGTACACTGCAATACACACATAATACCTCCATTAGAAATCAGAAGCCTGAATCTTAATCTAATAGCTTTGCTATTGGACTAAGCAACATAATCTTGTTACATAGATTTCTGGGTGACTTACACAAAAATTAATAAAAGATTAGCTATTTACAGTTGCAAAGTGCACACCTCTCTTTAAAACAAAAAGTCAAGTGTAGACATCCATTAATTTTTTAATTAAATAAAAACAAAGAAAAAGCCACATCCAAGGGGTGATTTATAACATCTCACCCATTGGTGTTAGAGGCAAAGTGTAAAGTATGCACATTTATAACCAGAGACATCCTGAAGGTACACTGTATTAGAAATTCTTGTGTAAGACATGGCTTTTAAAGGTGAAAACTTAATTAGGTAAAATGCATCAAATTACTACTAACAAGGTCAAATAAATGTCAATCATTGCCATTATTAATCTGTCACTTAAAAAACATTCACAATAATTGTTGAAATAAATTCTACTAATCTGAGTTCTAAATAGATTTTATGTGGTATTAGGATTGAATGCAGAGCCTCCTAAATGCTAAGTACTATATCAATGAGCTACAATATAAGCTCCATCTGCTGTGATTTCTTAAGTAAGTCTAACAAGAACAACAGCTATAAAAAATGCAAGTGCCTTTCCTAAAAAGACTGCTCCTTTCTTCAAGAATTCTTTTTTTCAAGAAGAATTTTTGATGTGAAATGATTCGTACTTTTAAATCTTCAAAGGGATTTCAGAAAAGAATCATAGGAAATGATTACTCATTCGTATAAATTTCTTGGCAAGTAAAATGTTTGACAATTAACTGTGTTACATCTTTAATTCTAAATCAATTATAATGGTCTTTAGGAAATACAAACTACTACTTTGAATATACCTTTTGAGCCCATTTCTAAGTAAATATTTGTTCCATTTTTCTTAAAAATTCCACCCATGTTTCCCACATCTCATTTGACTTCATTTGTTTATTTATTTATTTTTGTACTCTAGTACAGGGTCTACAGGGTGTCACTACACAGATCACACTATGTGATCCTTCTGTTTTCAGCCTCCCAAGCGCTGGGATTACAGGCACGCGCCACCAGCATGCCCAGTCTCATTCACCAACTCAGCATGCCCCAGGGGTGGGGCTGGCACCGCATGCCATCCCTGTGCCTGCCTAAGCAGGTGCTTTAGTTATTCTCAAATAAATATTTCCAAGTTAGCTCTTAACTAAACATTTAAAATAACATATTGATTCAATCACCTTACTGAAGACTGCTTCTGAAATCCTCAAATGCAAAGGCTGTGCACTGTCCCTCAAGATTGAACACAATAAGCAAAATTAGTTTTTAAAAACATTCTCAAAACACCTCTCTTTAAAACAAAAAGTCAAGTGTAGACATCCATTAATTCTTAATTAAATAAAAACAAAGAAAAAGCCACATCCAAGGGGAGAGGGTGTTGATAGAAAAGCATGCTCTAAGCTAAGTAGTTAACATTCACATGTTGGTTATCCAACACAGGAGGTACCAAAAAAAGTGGAGACAAACAATCAAAAGTTCTGGGTTCTGGCTGTCCTAGACCTCAACTTCCTCATATATCTAAGGGGTAATTGTTATGATTTCTAAGGTCCCATGTCATCTCTCAAGACCAGAATACTAAGTGAGCCCCCCTCCCCACCAGACCATTCTTTGTCAAGCAAACTTGAATCTTATTTTTATTTTTCCAACCAAATAGCTACATAAAAACAAAAGGACACATATTTAGTGTTTGTGCATCTTCTAATCAGATACTATTAATCATTTCTTTTAAAATTAAATTACCTACCTCACTGGGGTGTTGTGAGGATTAATTCATTAGTGTTTGTAAAGCACTTTGAGATCCTCAGGTCAAAGGCGCTATAGAAGTGCAAAGTAGTAGTATTATTACTAGATTCTTTGCTTATTTAAGGAACTTCACAATCCTTTAAAGCCTAACTCTGTGTTACGACATCTATTAAAATAACCCTGTATTTTATCCACATTATTTTAAATTCTTTTTGACTATGTTATAGACAGGGTGCCAGTGTTTCAAAACAAACGACTTTAAAGGTTAAAATTCTGATCTACAAATGGGGAGGTAAGAGTGAGGGAATAACCCATGTGGCAATTTCGTTTAGCATAGCATTTTAGTGAGAGATCCTGTCAATCATATTTAGAAGTGTGCCTACACCCTAAGAAAAATAAAACGAAATACACTTTAAATATAATGATTTGGCAAAATTCCTTTTTTAAAGAGGAAAGGAAACATGGCCCAGTCCACTGACTTTAAAAGCTAGCAACACTGCGCTTACACACCATGTGCACACGCACACATATACAATTGTCACGCACAGTTTTAAATCACAGCAACAGTATTAACATCAAAATTACTGAGCTAGCTGCTTTTCTTTTAAACTAGCTTCCCATCCTCACATAAAGGAAGCTCAGCACTGAGAAGAGGTCAAAGCAACTTGGCTCTATGGAATTTTAAGAGAAAACTTATTACCAAAGACCAACGATTCAAAATTGGTTAAAATCTTTTGGACTGTTCATCATTTCCCACCCTCTTCTCTAATCAAATCTTTTTACATTAAAGTGTGCTTTAAACCAAAACAACACATGCACCATGTACACACATACAAAGCTAAGGAACCAGAGACCTACATATTGAATATTCTCAATAAATAACTTTTTAAAAAAACTTTCAACACCCTCTTAGAAGCTCCTCCAGTGCAACACAAGCTTCAGTCTCAAGATCAAACTGAAAATGAGATACTAAATCTTAAAACACTTACCTCCTGCTCCTGTTGAAAGATGACAACTCTACCACCTTTATCTCCTGTTGCTAGTAATTCTCCAGAATGATTAAATTCTACTGTAGAAATTATATCTGCTGTATAAATGAAACAAAGATGGACATTAGTTGTTGGTTGCCACGTCCCTAGTCTGAGCATTAGCATATTTCCTGCAGACACCAAGCCGGTATCAGCCTGCCACCACATGAATGGCATAAGTATCTTTCACGAAAATCAGATTTACCAAAATAGGTTCCACAGAAAAAACCAACATGAAATTACTTTTAAAAAAGCACAATAATACCAGTGGCTTAGTAATATTTTATTGATTTTAGAAATGTGAAGAAAATTTCTGAAATATTCTGATCATTTCTGAAACAGTTCTGATGGTATCATTAAAAATTGCGTTGTTGGGGCTGGGGAGATGGCTCAGTGGAATAAGCGCTTCCCTGGCAAGCACAAGGGTCTGAGTGCAATTCCGGGCTCCACCCACAAAAAAAAAAAAAAAATTTTGTGTTGTTGGCCTGGCGAGACACCTCAGTGGATTAAGTGCCTGCCTAGGCACAGGGAGCAGGGCTGAATCCCCATGGTGCCACACTGACCCCAACCCTAGGCATGCTGAGCTGGCCACCGGGCATGGTGGTGCATTTCTGAAATCCCAGAGCTGGGGAGGCTGAAAACAGGAGGATCACTAGGAGTCTGAGCTGCATACTGAAACCTTGTACTTTTGCGTTTTTTAAGAAAAGGTATCCCTCTATAGTTCAAGCTGGGCCTGAACTCACTATGTAGCCCAAGCTGGCTACAAACTGCCTCCCAAGTGTAGGGGTTACTGGCATACACCACTATACCCTTTTATTTTTATTGGTACATACTTGTAGTACATTATGATTATATTCATCACAGGGTGTTAGTGCATATACATTTTTCATTTCCTTTGAACCCTTTTCCCCCTTCCTATACCTCTTGCTCTTTCTTACATACAGTATCTATACAGTATAAACAGTATATATAATATACAGTACATAAATACACAATGTCAAGAGCTGGGAGTTTGATCTCTGGGCATGCTATGCCGCCCCATCCCCGAGGGCGTGTAGAGATAAGACTGAGACTGGGCATGGTGGCGTGCCCCTGTAATCCCAGCTCTTAGGAGGCTGTAAATAGGCAGCTCACTATGAGTCCAATCGTAGTGAGACTCTGAATACCCTGTAGACCCTTCCCTAAAATACATAATGTACATATATAATATATATAAATAAAAACTTTGTTGCTATTATTGAAACTTGTTTGTAGTATACAATAATCACTTTCCTTACAGGGACTGGATATATATACATAGCATTTCACAATCCTCCCCTTTAACCTCCTTTCCCCGCCCTCCCACTGTCATTTGGTTCCCTTTCCTTTATGCCACAGATTCATCCATTTCCTATTACCTATTCTCTGGTTTGCATCTTATATATATTGGAAACCATGCAATATTTAAGCCTGTGTGTTTGGTTTACTTCACTTAAAATTGGTTCTCAAGGTGCATCCATTTTCCTACAAATCAAGGTTATCCTTCAGATGGCCTCTTTAACAAATGGTGCTAAGAAAACTGGCTGCCCATATGCCAGATTGAATCTAGACCCACATCTCTCTATATACACTAAACTAAAATGAAAATGGATCAAAGATCTAAATACTGACATAGAAACATCCTACAGGAAGACAATATAGATAAAATTCTTGAAGATGTAAGTATAGGCAAAGACTTTCTAAACACAACCTTGGTTACATAAGAAACATCAAGAATGAACACATAAAATCACATCAAGTTAAAAGCTGCACAGCAAAGAAAACCAAACGAATGAAGATAATCCACAGAATGGGGAAAAAATGGTCAACTATTTATCAAGGACTAATATGCAGAATATTAAAACTCAAAACATTTACATTCACCAAATTCAGAGACCCAATCAAAAAACGGGGATCTGAAATTAAGACATTTCAAAGATAAAGAAGTATAGTCAATAAATACACAGAGA